ACCGGGTGCTATCTCATTAGCCCGCTTCATATTCGGTGCAGCGCCGAGGCGGTAGTACGGCGGCCACAGGCTGCACATGACATTTGTGGGCTCAAACACGGGCGGTCACCTTCCAATTCGTGTATCAGTAGCAAGTTGCGCCGGCCCCTTTTGTCCCTTTACTTACAAGCACGTCAAAGTATTTTGGCATCACAAGCCCAGATCATTCGAAGTCATGAGCTGTCAGGGTCGCGTTTTGTTCGTATCATCCTCAGGCCAATTTACCTAGTTCTGTACATCGTTAAAGTCGTTTTATCTCAGTATTTTTGTGTAATTCGATAGTAATAATGATTTTGAATTACATTATCATAAATACGCGTTATTTTATGCTAAGTCTTGCGATTCACTATTACCCGGATTCAGTCAAATCGATCGGTACCTCTTTTTGAAATGGCAAAGCAGACTCCTTGTGGTACTGTGGTTGATCATTGCGCAACCGCGATTACATGCAGCTTGTGTAGCGTGAATTTCCATATTTCTGCATCGGTTAATCCGTTGACCAATTTAAACTACTGCGTGGCATCCAGCATGATTTTGTCCAAATATGGTGTAAAAATTGCCAGGCTGAAGTCCGATCATCTGTAGTCGAGAAAACTGGAGCAAGCAAAACGGGCGAAACGTTCCATAGCGAAGAGCTCCGTTGGTCCATCCCATCCAAAGGAAACCGAGCAACTCTTAGGTCGGAACGTGCCCACTTATCGGCCTGCTGCTAGTCTTCCGAAGCAATGTCCATCCATTTCTGGAGGCTCAGTTGGTGTGTCTTTGTTGCGTCCTAAAAACACTATCGTTCCTTCATGCGATAACGTGAGTGATGAAGGTTAGTGGAAAGTGTATGGAAGGAAGAAAGAGAGTGTAACTGCCAACGATCAGTGGCGTTGCAACCTTATGCTATTTCAAGCCCCTTGTGTTAACCGATGCAAATGCACAGGCTCGCTATGGAACAATGGGGTATTACGGGTAAAAAAAGCAATGCTTAACAAGTCCCATGGGATGGGAATTATTTCGAATAGTACGTGGCATGATAAGGTGGAAAGCGTTTTGGTGGACTCAGTATAGACTGATGTGGGATAGCGGAGATTTTTGCGTATTAATAGTATAATGCCATAAATTCCTTGGTTGGCAGTTTGGTAAGGCACTTTTGATTGCGTTTTGTAGCCCCTGGCTAACAATTCATAAAATGAAATGCAAATAAGACAACGCATCGTCAACTCATTTTTTTAAATATTGCCAGATGGGGAGCAGGGACAACCTAATTGGGGAGGGCGTTCCAAGGCTGGCACATGCGGAGGGAAAAGAAATTTCTACGGCATTCATACCGGCTATATTGAATTGTCAGTTTCAGAGGATGACCTCTTAGATTCGATTGGTTCGATTCTAGCAGCGGATGGCAAATGTGCTTTCGGTTCTTCAGTATCCGATAAACTATTAGGAGATCCCCTCACAAAAGCCGATATCGACTGCTGTACATTCTTAGAGATTTCAGTAAGCTGATAGGGCAGACGAAAGTGGCCACTGCCGTTCTTGGTTGCCCTTCGTTGAGTGGTCTCGCGAGCAAGGAGATACTGTTTCTGCCACGGCTACCACGCCTGAATTATCATATTCCACGTGCAGTCGCATGTAGGTGTTAAGTATTTGGGGAAAGATTGAGGGTTCAAACCGACCGAAGGCTTTGTGAAGCAGGCTGCCGGTTCTCGTCGCCTTCTTTGCTTGTTTTGAACACCCGAGATCTTCCTGTACCAATACACCCAGGTCACGCTCCTGAAAGGACTTCTGCAAGTTGTGGTCTCCATACTTGTAAGCGCTCACGGCTGGTGACGCAGATGGATCACCTTGCACTTAGCTATGTTCAACTGAAGCAAGTTCCCCTTTGGCCATTTATAAATGCAGTCTAGGTCATGTTGGAGTAGATGGTAGTGTTCATTGTTACTAATCGCCCGACATATCTTGACGTCATCGGCGAAAAGCAGGAAATTTGAGGAGATAACTCTTGCCAGGTCGTTGATAAACACCAGAAATAAGCGCGGTCCCAGCACTGAGCCTTGTGGAACACCACATTCTAACTTATCCGGATTAGAGAGTGATCCCCAAACGCGCACTTGAAGCTTCTGTTGGTGAAGAAAGTTGCCAATCCAACCAAGCACAGGATCTCTGATTCCGTAGCTCTGTAGCCGGTGAAGTATGATGCGGTGATCCAGGCGGTCGAAAGCTTTGGAGAAGTCCAGATAAATGACGTCAACGCCGACCCCATCATCAGCCACTTCCGTCCAACTACCTCGTGCAATCAGTAGGTTGTTGGTGCATGACCGGTGTTGACGGAAGCCATGCTGCTCCGGTGCCAAGATGTTGCATTTTTCCAGGTAGTCCATTAGAGCCTCAGCGATGACCGCTTCCATCACTTTCGCGAGCACAGGGAGGAGAGTCACTGGGCGATAGTTTGCAGGATCTGAACGGCTACCGCCTTTAAAAATTGGGGTGATAATGCCATGCTTCCAAATTGTGGGGACTTGTTGTTCATCAAAGCACCTTTGGAAGAATTGTGACAGTGGTTCAGCTAGCTTGTTGGTCGCAGTCTTTAGTGCCTTCAGGCGGATGTTGTCTGCTCCCGGAGAGCTATGATCGCGGTGTGTCCAGGTTTTAAGAACGGTGCTCGCAATTCATGCATCAATAATCGGGAGATTAGTCTCATTTCGTTTGCTTCCAAGCTTTGGGCATCCATTCTACTCCGAAGACTTCCCCTTTCGTGAATCGTAATGCGAAGAACAAACTGGCTTCCGTCCCGGTCATGGGTACGTGGATCAAATATTCACGCTCCGCCAAATCCTCGGACACTGCCACGTTTACCAGAGGCTTACCATTGTTGCATTCTCAAACATTCGTGCTGCGTTCAATTCAGTTGATCGGCCTGCACTGTGACGCTGACTGCTAAGGGACGGGGTCCCAGAAAAGTACACTCATCCTACGCGCACTCTACCTCCACATCTCCGGCAGACTGAGAGTCCATAGCAAACTTTCGTCATCATTCGCCGTCAATAACGGTGTACGACAAGGGCACCCTATATCAACTTTTCTATACAATTTCGCGATTGAAGACGTTCGGTCGAAACCTTTGGAAGATTGTCAAAAGTTTGGACTACAACTACTGCCGAGCAAGCAAGCTCCTGACTTAGCCTATGACGATGACATCGCCTTACTTCGTGACGATTCACAGAGCATGCAAACCGTACTAAACCGTTTAGCGATTGAAGTATCTATGTTCGGTCTGTGCTTCACCCCATCGAAATGTGACGTGCTGCTCCAGAATTGGCACTCACCTTTTCCTTGCTCACTCTTGAAGGTACACAGCTCGAACAAGTAGATAGTTTTGTCTACCTGGGCAGCTGCGTTTCTGCTAGTGGCTCTATTGAGAAGAAAATTTCACTCTGCATCGCCAAAGCTAGGTCAGCGTTTTTCAATCTGAAGCACTTGTGGCATTGTCTGAATGTCTCCCTGTTGGTAAACTGTCACGTGTACAGTGTCATCGTTCGGGCGGTGTTGCTATATGGAAGTGGATCGGTGCTAATTCGCGTGGATGACATGCGCCGGCTCCCAGCTTTTGACAATGGGTTCTTGAGGAGGATTGCTCATGCGTGGTAGCAGTAATGATGTAGTCCGACGTAGTGTCTTGGGGATGCAAGTATGCCACACAACAAGCTTGTTTTGCTGCGTCAGCTAAGATGGCTACGTCACGTTTTGCGTATGTCGGCTGAGCGGTTGCCTTATTGCGGACTTTTCGCTCCTGCAGGGCTTGGCTGGAATAGAACGCGTGCTGATCAGCCGTCCACTTGGCATGAGCATATTATAGTGTTGACTACACATCCAGCTGCCGTTGGATCCACATGCCTGCCCGGTTGGTGACCAAAGACGAAGAGTACCGAGGGCTAGAGACAATGCAGGAGATGGCATGTAGTCGAAATCAGTGGAAGATTTGTGTACATGTTTAGATTCAGATGTCTAATGATCAACAATTGAAAACGACAAAAAAAGAAAAATGGTACGTGAGAAAATAACAAAACAGTTACGCTCCCATTATGGCACAATACCTGAAGTATGTTGCATAGTTTTAGCTAACGCGGCATGATGATGAACAAACTTGTCCTCCTCTAGTGATTTCCATAGTTTGATTGGCTCTATATCTTTTCCTTAAACTGCTGCCAATACATACATACAAGCCGGTTGAATAAAGCCAACCACGTTGGCCTCACACACAGCAAATCATTCTTCCCTCTGCTTGTTACGGCTCACATGTACAGCTGCTGATCTGAAAGTAACTGAGTGTCTCCAACTTTCACTAGCCCTTTTTCGGACGCCAAAATGAAGAGAAATTTGTTTAGCTTAAATTGTATGCTATATTCTATACTCTGAAATTGCAGCTTTTATGTTTTCCTTATCACCACACAAATTCTCTTCATACCTCACCAAAGGAAAAGACAAATTGGTTCCGTTTGTACACAGTGTTTTGCGTCAGGACGCTATCCATGGCAAATGTATGATTTTTATTTCCGCCTAACATTTGGAGTATGGAAACAATTGTGAGAAATTAACCGTACCGAAAAGGACATGTTTCGTGAACCCGGGAATATACTATATATTCAAGTGAAACTAGGTATGACGATTGATTTGCAAAGTCGGTAAAGCAACTAAACATGACCAGGCCTTAAGCTCTCGAGACAGAAGCTAACGTTTGTCGTGTGAAAGAGGAAGCAGAGCCATGGATAACCGGTCGATGACGAAAAGACAGGTGATAATATATAGAATTAAAATATATTAAAACCAATTCATGAATGATTGATGAGAGCAGAATCCTGAGTGACAGAAGCTTGCGAGATCACTGAAATGACGCAGCAGTCGGTCGACTTAATCGTTGAGGGCTGCTGAAATGTTCACAGCACTTGCATAACTGAGCCACAGAGCATAAGGTATCATCAAATTGCTGGCCATCTTGTTGATCGGGCGGAAGAGGACTGTACGCGTGATCGCTCCACCCAAAGTTGCGAAAATAATTGCCACGGACTGCAAAATTAGGGGTGATAGGGAAAGACAAAACAACAATGTTAGGCTGGTTGATAAAATGTCGGTGAAGTATCAAACGAAGGCATTGAATTAGATAAGGGGTAAATGAGGACGACAGATTCCAAGTGATTGCAACCAACGTTATGGTGGCTTAGAATCGATGAAAAATGGCGGATAGGAGATGTTGTTGGATAAGTTTATGATTGAGTGGGACACATCTCGCGAGCAAACATCGTCGCATAAGCACAACTTACCAACGGTACAAGAGTACTTCATACTTATGCTTCGCTGCCGTGCAAGGAATTGCAGGCGGGCGTAATTGAAACCAGTCGCACCATTCCACAATAGAATTGGGAAACATCTCAAGCATTGTGACGCAATACAATCAAAATAAGCAGCTGCAAAAAGGAGATCCAAAAATACGAGACAAAAATATGATGTTTTGTTTCTATTTTGCATCAGTGATGAGATCGTAAAGGGGGGAGGAGGTAAAAGTAACTCACAACCCAAACGCCAATTCTACAAGTGTCTCCAATCAAATGTGTTTATTGTCCTTGGGACCCTTAACCTGGAATAGGGATCCATTAACAGCCCGCATTACTCTTAACGATGTTATCGCTAGCCTTGCCCTCTCTACTTTCAATCTATTTCAAACCATCTTGAGGAGATTGCAATCCGTCGCGACGGGACTGGACCCTAGATGTTAAGACAGTTTGCGTACCTACAGGACCCCCTGACCTAGGTTGGATGGCACTTTCCAAGTGCCCTCAGAACCACTCGTACCAGACAAGTCGATCGTTAGGAGTCAGACTAACTTAGTCATACAATCCTCCTCGGAGGTAAGCGAGAGGTTGAAGACATCCTTCCCGAAAAAGGGCCATGGGAGACAACATGCTTACGGGTTACAAGCTCACAGCTCGATTGGTACAAAGCACGAGCGCCACGCACTGTAATAGACGGTGAAATGGTCCCGCTCGATGCTCAATTGTTTGCTACTACCTGCCTCAGGCCAAATGGCCTTTTGTTAAACTAGTGCATACTCAGCGGTTGTAACAGTTACGTAATATGGTTGTCGGCATCGGGTTATGGACTTGCCTGTCACTGTGGTCTCCATTAGGACGGTCACAGGACGCCCGTGCCTTTCAAAGGGGCATCGGTGGCTTGCGATGCACCACTCACAGCCCCATCCACACCCCATATCCAATACTAACCTGAAGAAAGGCCGAGTCATCATGAATTTATTGGATTCCGGTGGACAGCAGTTTGTGTGCAGTCCGTTTGACAACATCAACTAAGGCCGAGTCACGCAGTAGTACAAGACGCTGTTTGTTTGTGGTTTCCGCCTATGCTCCTATCGCCGGCAGTTCTGACGCTGCCAAAGACACCTTCCACCACGAAGTTGATCCGCTAGGACTCAGTGCTACCAGTTCAGATATCATAATACATTCAGGGTATATGAATGCGCCCGCAGGTCGACTGCGCTCTTCAGAAGTTCAGCTAGGTAAATAAATAAATAAATAAATAAACTTTTATTCTTGACAATGCGAGGCACACCTGTACAGGCATGATCATGTTTAGCTAACATAGTGTGAGCAAAATGTACAAAGAGTGCATGTTTGGCATAACAGTGAATGTAAGTGTATGGGTGTATATTTGTATGCAATTGTCTATGAATGTAGCTTGTATTTTTGAATGTGCCGCAGAAATTTTGACTGCTTGTTTTCGGTAGGAAGGTGAGAATAAGCGATTGACTTCTGTGGGTTGGATACCATTTTTCGGATGTCCACGCGGCAGGGACTTTATTTTGTGGCGATTCACATCCGCCACGTCACAGTGTTGATAAGCAGACATTTGTGGCTTTTTATAGGGAGAACGCTTGCCGGGCGAAAACCCACCACGTCCTGGAACACTGCCGCCGAACTATTTGCTGGAACGGGTTAAACCCGAAACACCCAGCTAGCACCACGAGGAGGTTGTTTGGCCTGACTCCGACCATACGGACAAAAGCGGGCGTCTTTTGTAACTGTTTGCGGAGCACCAGCTTTTTCTTAGTAGCCCTGGTTGCAGACACACTGAGCGCCGACGTTTCCTGATGTACTGGCCGCCGAAAAGGATAAGAAACGTCGCCGCATCTGCTGCATCGAGCAGGGTAGATAGCGGTTTAGATGCTACTGCTCAAGCCTCCCGGCTTTCTTATTCCCCCTCATAGGCTTTGTCAACCTTATGGTTCTGTTCCAACTTCACTTTTATCCCTCCAGTTGTCAACCCCCAATTCTTGGCCGCCCCCAGCATGGTTTGCTTAGCGTTTAGTTTATAGTTTCAATTCACATGCAAACGCGAAGTGTCACTCCTGTCCTGTCGACAAGTCCATGTCCAACCAAGCGATCCATTCAAGTTCATCGGCTTCTAATTGGAACTCTCGATCCTCCTTCATATTGGCATACCTCAATGTATGCACATTTTTACAGACCGGTCAACAGGCAGCATTGTCCGAACATTGGAGACCCTCTCTATCGATATTTGGTGCTTATCGGTGATCCGCCTGCAAGACTCGAGCTCTCTGCTCACTCTGCGATCCCAATCAGCTGACACAAGCAGCACTTTTTCATTGCGCATATCAGGTGACGATGCAGCTTCGAGCACGGGCCAAGTTAGTGCTGGTGTTGCCATAAGTCCCCGGGCTGATGCTGTTCTGGTTGATTGGATCCCAGGCAGTAGCCGGATGTGTGAAGTCCGATTGGCTGACTCGTTCAAAGCTTCGAAGTCGCGCGAGACTAAGAGGTGTCTATGCATCGTTGCTGCCTACACGCCCACAAACTCCAGATACTTCGGTCAAAGACGACTTCTAGACAAATTATACGAGCTTCTTTGCCACAGAAGAAGCTCGGACACTGTTGTATTGACTGGGGCCCTGAAACCTCAAGTTGGAAAATTATCCATTGCTGAACTGCGCGCTGACAAGTAAGCCTGGTGGACTAGTCGACCTCAAGAAATCTAAGAGGCACGAGCCGTAGGCAATTAACGCAAGCTCTTCCAGCCGATCCGCACCACTGATCCTAGGAAACCAGATGTCAGTGAAACAATCAGACAGCACGGGTGCGCTGATGCACAATAAGGAGTGCCGTGTGACTTGTTGGGTGGATCATTTTCAAGATCAGTTCAGTTGGCCCTCGGCTTCTAGACCGGTTCCTACGCAGGTGATGCAAGATGAGCCATGGAGCATCTGTCTGCGGCTCGATTTCGTGCCGCTGGCCCGGATTCCTTGCCACCACCACCATTTAAGGATGGAGGTGAGGTCCTCTGCAAAGCACTGACTTCCCTGTTCCAACGTGGAAGGATACCGTCTAGGCTAACTGGAGTGAATCTATCATAGCACAATCGCACCGACTGGGACAACTAGAGCCCGTAGTGCTAAAATTACGGGCCTCTGCTTTCATTCGTCACCTCATCGCGGAACGAAAAGACCGGATTAAGGAAGAGCAGGCGGCTTCTTGACCAGGACAGGGCTGTATAGACCATATATTCACTCTGTTGCAAGTGCTAGAGCAACGCCACGCATACTGCAGACCGAAAATAGCTGTGTTGCTCGATTTCAAGAGTGCGTTCGATTAACTCGATCAATTCATCCAGTTCGGAATATTTGCGGCGAAATGGTTTTCCCATGAAATATGTGAACATTGCACGTGCTCTGGATTCACACTACGGACCGCGTCTAGGTCTACTGTGACCTGCCGGATAGCTTTCCGATAAAGGTAGCGTTTATTAGGGTGTCCGATTTCCCTATTTTAGTTCAATTTAGACGTGGACTGCATCATGAAGTGTTCCCTTGTGGAGCCTCATGATGCAGGCGTTGAGGCGCTACCAGGTGAAAGGCCAGTTGACGTTTATTATGCCGACGATATTGTCCCGTTGTTTAATGATGTTGAAGCGGCCTAATGAAACCTCTAGAGTGATTCCATTATTTCGTATGTGCTTCGCGCCTTCAAAGTGCAGTGTTGCTACAGGACCACCAACCATTTGGTGACCCATGAACCCTAGGTAGCGAGGGACTCGAGGTAGTTGATCAATACACTAAACTTGGCAGATTTATCAGCATAGATGTGTGAGTAGATACTGAACTCAATTCACGTATTGTCAAAGATAGAAGTGCTTCTTGCTTCTGCGATACCTTTGGCCATAGATAGCAGTTCCCTACGTTTGAGAGGTCGCGTTTACGAGGCGACAGTGAGGGCCATCCTACTTTGTGGGAGTGAGAGTTGGCCCCTACGGTCTGAAGAGCTAAGGCGCCTTCAAGTCTTTGATCATTGCTGTCTGTGGAGTATTTTTGGTGTCAGGTGACACCAGCGCGTCAGCAACGATAATGTGCGTAGAAGGTGGCTCGCAAACAGCACTAGTGGCGCGTCTGTCGCCGGCACCTAATCAGACTGCCAGTTTAAAGTGTGTTTGGTGCTGAGTTATCTGTAGGGTAATGGCTGATTATGACGCGGGGCAGTTAAAGCCACAAGGAAGCTGTGTTGTCGATGCCGCTTTATCTCTGTACAATAACCAGCTTTTTGTGATAGCATGTTTTTGACATAGTGTAGGCGCCTTGACCCTGAATGTGTGTTTCTAACACTAAGGTTTTTCGGTAAGTCCCCTCATTCTTATTATTATTAGCAAACTTCGTTCCGTGAGCAGATATGATGGTATAGCAACGAAGTATCAGTTTAGATGGTTGATGTACTGCTGTTGGTGATGAAGCCAATTGAAGAAGAGGCTTGATACGCCTCCCTGTAAAGGTCACGGAAAAACGACAACGTAACAAGACATACTCGGAGTCGACACAAGTACTCCAGAAAGAGTGACACACCAGGATGGAACCATACCAACTGTAACTTATGGCAATGTGGTCTATTTGGGTCTATCACTAGACGCCATAGGTGGACGCCAAGTGGCATTTCGGTGTCCACTAAGTCTAAAAGCGGTGCTATTAAGAAACAGGCGGTGGTCCGCAGAAAGCTGTAACCGACGTTCGTCGTTGTTCGTACGGCCGGAGTTAAGTCCACACTTACTCCCTAGCAGAGCTTCCGAGGAGTTTAGACGACCTCCATGCGAATTCATATCCCCTGCGAGAACAATAACATTTGAACTGGTAACACGACGCAGTAGCGGATTAAGTTGGTGGTAGAATGTGTCCTTGGAAGCATCATAACTGTTGTCGGTGGGGACATTTGTGGAAGCCAAAAACAAACGACGGATAGTGCTACGTCATCAGATATAACAGCAAATTAATCCAAGGTTTGTCTAAACAGCTGCACTCGCACCCGCATACCACGGTGCAGACATTCTAGTAAACTTACAAACTTATTCGGACGACCAAAATTGCCCAAC